CTGGTGATCCTGCCTTCCATCTTTCTTTCCCAGTTGTTGCAGATGTACTACCGGCAACAGGAAGAGATCCGAAGGCTCCGGGAGCTGTTGACCCAGCGAGAGGTCCAAGCCAAACAGTTGGAACTGGAGATCAAAAACTTGAGGATGGCCTCAGAGCAACTCTGAGCAGAGACCTCTGCCCTCCGTACCCTCAGGGACACCACTCGGCTCCATGGGGAGGTTCAGAACCAAACCACAAGTCCCCCTAAGAACAACCACTATTTCTATATTTTTTACCAGAAAACAAAATTCTCAGTCGCTGAAAGAGATTCCAGTGGGACATGGTGCCGTTTTTCTATTTGCCTTCTTGCAACAACAGTTTCTGAATTGACTTTGTTTTTAGATGATGCCTTCTGTTGAATTCTATTGTTAAGGGTCCATGATGAGCTATAACTTCTCAAGGGGAAAGAACACAGTAGAAAACTAGAGCTGGAAGGACCTAGGTTGATCTGCCTGTGATTTTCAGACTGTGGTCCAGAGACTAGGGGAAGACCGGGCCAGATGCAGTGGCTCATGCCTATAATCCCAGCACTTTGGGAAGCCAAAGTGTGCAGATTGCTTGAGGTCAGGAGTTTAAGACCAGCCTGGCCAACATGGTGAAACCCGTCTCTACTAAAAATACAAAAATTAGGCATGGGGGAGAGCACCTGTAGTCCCAGCTACTCGGGAGGCTGAGGCAGGAGAATCACTTGAACCCAGAAGGCGGAGGTGAAGTGAGCTGAGATCATGCTAGTGATCTCCAGCCTGGGTAACACTTTTTTTTTCTGTCTCAGAGAGAGAGAGAGAGAGAGAGAGAGAGAGGGTATAGGGGGAGACTAAGCAGGAAGTCTGTGTCTCCCTTCCCCACACTGTGTTCCAACCAGACAGCTCCTTTCTATTTTCTATGTTGGGCTACAATGAAAAACAATTCTGCTAGTAAAAAAAAAAAAAAAAAATTTAGACGTTTGAAAACTGTGATTTGACCAAGTTCCTCATTTTACAGGCAGACAAACTAAGGCCCAGAGAGAGGCAAGGGATAATTGTTTCTTGGTGGGGCTGGGCTGAGATCCTGGTTTTCTGGGTCTGTCTTTTTGCTATTTTGGGTCTATGCAGTCCTCAGCCCACAGAGCAGAAATCTGTTGCTTCTGGCCTCAGCTGTGCCCCAGCTTACTCAGTGACTTCTTGCAAGTCCTCCCCTCTCTGGTCTCAGTTTCTTCATCTGAACAAGGGATACCCTGGAACAAGCTGCTCTCTGGAGGATCGGCCGTCTATAACCTTGACCTAAGGGAAAACTACCTGTGGGGTGATCTGAGTTTGCTGCAGAAACTAGCAGACACTGGCAAGGGGCCAGACCAGGGGGTTTAAACCTGATTCCACAACACAGACAGGTCAGAACCAACCTTTCCAACCAGAATCAGCCTGATGTGGGTAGATGCTGTCCCTTATGGTGGGGATGGAGACTTCAGAGCTGTGCCCATGACTGCTGACTGCCACCACCAAGGCCCTCAGGTACACAGCCTGCCTCCTGCAGGATGATGTCGGCAGATTTCACCCCTAGTTAACAGGAGAGTCCCCCAGGAGGTAGGGGGCCTCCATCTCTGGGGACATGCCAGCATAGCCTCTGGCCACCTAACCAGGAGGTCTTCTGGAGAGAAATGACTACTCTAGGTAAGGAAGTAGGAGCAGATGGTTGCAAAGTTCCCTTCTCGCCTGAAAGCTTTTCTTTGTCCCCCCTTAGTATGTTCCAAGCCCTGCTCTAAAGTTCAGTGGTCAATACAACAGTTCATCAAGAGATAGGGAATGATTAGAAGTGAAATTGGTCCCTCCCTACCAAGGAGGGGCAGATGATCTCCATTGCACAGGGCGATTAGATTCTGGAGCTGAGATGGGGACTGCAGGAGGCCGCCTAGCCTGGTAGGTTTCAGCCCAGGCTGTACATTAGAATCCCCTTGGGAGCATGCAGGTAATACGGACTCCTGGGCTCCATCCCAGACCAACTGAAGCTGAATCTCCAGAGTAGGGCCTGTATATTCATATGAGCTTTGCAGGTGATCTGCAGTACAGTGAGTATGGCTGGCTATGTGTGTACCTATTTGCAGTAAAGATGAAGAGGACAGTGAGTGCCAGACAGGAGCTGGGCCTCAACCCAGATCTCTTAACTCCTGGCTGCTGGCTCCTTAAAAGTCCAGAAGTGTTGTCCCAAGCCATCCCTCAACATTTCTGGGGACCACAGCTGCAGCACGATGGGGGTTCAGTGCCTCCATCTGCCCCTTCCCCAGCCATGGTTTATTCTGCTTGTCTATCTGCACAGGCCAGATGCCCATGTTCCTTATCTTATTCTCCATTTACTCAGTCACTGGGGCTCACTCCCGTCTGATGCGCCAACCAAATTTGCCTTACAGTGTGCTCCAGAACAGAAGGCCAAATCCCAGGCATTGTCAGGGCAGCAGAGCTCCACAGGACAGGCTTACCTGCGTGGCCAACACTTCAGTTTACAAACTCCTCCCACCTCCAGTCACTGACACATGCTATTCTAACACAGGTCAGGCAGGCATTATAATCCCCATGTTCAGAAGCAAAGACCTAGCCTTAGAGAAGTGAAGAAACATCACGCCAAGGTCACTGGCTGCCAAGCGGCAGAGGTGGGGTTGCATCCTGAGAACTTCCCAGAATGCCTCTGCACAGCGCCATTCCTTGGCCAGCTCTCTCCACCCCAAGGGACCCAGACTGCACTCTGACAAACAGGACACAAGTGTTTTTGAACAAACTTTTTTTTTTTACATCTAGAATAAATTATTTAAATTATTTCACAGCAAGGGAGAGGGATAGGTAATTTTTATCAGATATTTTTTTAAACCATCTGTTTTTTAAATTACGTTTTTGTTTGTGTTCTTGAGCTGATGTAGTGGAACTCGACCAGCATTTTCAGGGCCCAGCCAGTTGGCAGAGCAGGCCTGCATCTCCTTATTCCATACCCTGGGCGTCCCCTTTCTGTTGACTCAGGAACTTTCTGAGAATGAGGACAGCACTAGGAGATGGGCTTTGGTGGGTGTCCACCTTAACGCTACAATAATTGTGCTTCCTGGAACAAAACTTGAGATTGTATCACAGAAGGAAACAGGAAGTCAGAAATCAAATCTATGCTTTTAATTGCAACTGTGCCTGACACCGTTTGAATGATTGTTTTAATGTTGTTTCTGAAATTCCTTGTACCTTTGTGAAAAATAATAAAAGTGAAAATAAATAGATGTGGAATGTGCAATGGAAATAATGTAACAAAATAATAAACATCTGGCCAGACATTTACTACATGGAGCTTTCGTTTTCTTGATTTGTTCCACAAATACCAATTCACTATCTACTGTTGGAGTTAGACACCAAGCTGGAAAACAGGTAGGACAGACATAGTCTTTGCCCTCTCCAGTTTTCAGTGATGGTTTGGGGAATGAGGAGGGCCAGAATAGGGGAAGCGTAAGCTGTTTTGGAAGGAGAAGCAGGGAAGGCTTCCTGGAGGAGAAGATAGTAAAGTAGAAATTTGCAAGATCAGTTGGAATACTCAGGGCAAAGGGTATTTGGGAAGAAGACTGTTCCAAGTAGGACAAACTGCACGTCCCCCAGTCTTGAAAAAGCAAAGGGTGGAGCATAGGCAGGGCGGGGACCAAGGATCTTAAGAAAGAGCCAAGGAGACAGGGCATGGTGGCTGATGCCTGTAATCCCAGCACTTTGGGAGGCCGAGGCGGGCAGATCACAAGGTCAGGAGTTCAAGACCAGCCTGGCCGATATGGTGAAACCCTGTCCCTACTAAAAATACAAAAATTAGCTGGTCATGGTGGCACACGCCTGTAGTCCCAGCTAAGAATTGCTTGAACCCAGGAGGCAGAGGTTGCAGTGAGCTGAGATTGTGCTACTGCACTCCAGCCTGGGTGACAGAGCGAGACTCTGTCTCAAAAAGAGAGAGAAAGGAAGGAAGGAAGGAAGGTAGGAAGGAAGGAAGGCTGGCCTTATAAATGGGAGCTGAGACTTGAGCCTGGAGCAAGTGGAATTAGTGGTGGGAGTGCATGTGTGAAAGTTGTCAGTACCAAGATGGAGTCACTTACGTCAAAACTAAACTAAAGGGTGCTCCTGTAGTCTCAGCTACTCCAGAGGATGAGGTAAGAAGGTCACTTGAGCACAGGAGAGTGGAGGGCCCTCACCAATGATTTGCCTGGTAACAGGAACTATTATTGCATGATAATAGGTTGCACCAAACTGCAACCTTGCACAAAGAACCACAATCTTGCACAAAAGCCACCGTATGAGGACATCTGCCCAGCAACTGCCTGTTCAACTTTTGCGCTGAAGCCACCGTATTTATTCTTGTAACCAAGTATTATTATTTTAAAACAATATATGCGATCCTCCTCGTTTTGCCTTTAAAAGCCTCCGCTTGAGGTTGCGGTGAGCCGAGATCGCGCCATTGCACTCCAGCCTGGGTAACAAGAGCAAAACTCCGTCTCAAAAAAAAAAAAAAAAAAAAAAGCCTACGCTTTCCTTTGCCTCCCTGAGTACTCCGTGCCCCCACCCCTTGGGTGCCATGGCACATTTATTCCCAGATTGCAATCCTTCTGCTCAGTCCGAAATAAACTCATTTGGAGAATGTCTGTGTCATTATTTGAGGTTGACAAGGTGTCTCACAATTGTGGGAATGGCTATCTTTCCCGGGAAAAGGGCAAGAGAGGGTCAGGAGAAAGAGGCGCACCGTCCCCCCGACCCCGGCAGGTCACAGCCAACTTTGGTCCCATCATCAGGGCTGCAGTTTTCTAGGCGTTACTGGACCAGCGTCATTAAGCAGGAAGCCCACCCTCTCCCAGCTGGCCCATTAGGAGCCTCCCATGTCTGCTGGGGCCACCTCCCGACCTGGGCGGACCGAGGGAGCACCCTGCTGGTCGGAGGATGCTCCGAGGCCCTTCGCTGCTCCCGGCTGGCTGCCATCCTCCAGGCGGCCGGGGGCGCCCTGCGGTCCTCCAGTGCCGGAGCTGGGCAGGCCTGGAGCCGCCCCGCCCACGGCCGAGGTTTCGGTTTCCCGTGGGAGCCCCGCCCAGTGCCCCGGGAGCCCGAGGCGGCGGGGATGAATGGCGGGTGCTGCGGCTGGAAACCTGACCCCTGGGGGGTCGGAGCTCGTCGAGGGATGCCGCTGGCTATGCCCGGAGCACGGCGACCGCGTGACCGAGCTCTTCTGTCGCAGCTGCCGCCGCTGCGTGTGCGCGCTTTGCCCAGTGCTGGGCGCGCACCGCGGCCACGCGGTGGACCTGGCGTTGGAGGCGGCGGTGCACGTGCAGGTGGGGACAGTGGGGACGCCGCGCGGGAGTTGTGGGAGGCAGCCCAGGCACAACGGCAGAGGAGGGGGCGTGTCTGCCATCCCGTGGCCAGGGGCGGGTAACAACCTGGAAACCAGACGTGCCCCAGAGGGCGTCTAAGCGGTCGACCGAAAGTTCAGAACGGGAGACTGAAACCCAAGGAAGGGCAAAGGCGAGCCAAGGCCATCAGTTGAGCTTCAGAAAAGGTGGGTTTAGGAGTGTAGAGGTTGGGAGCCCAGACTGGTACCCAGATGTCCTTGACCCTGTCCACCATGGCGGGTCCACCACACTGCCATTGGGTTGGAAGACAGTGCCTTTCAGTTAACAGAGGTGCAAACCCTCCCTGTTAATAAGCAGCTCTGTGTAGCTCAGAAAGTCACACAGACATCTTCAGTTTACTCAATCTGTAGTCTACAGAAAGGGCCTGTGAACCTTGAACTAAGGACGGCCCGATTGCCCTGGGAGCAGCCTCAACAGTCACTACCTACCTCCTCTCCCCTCACCGGCCACACAGACACTCCCATTCCTGCTCACAGCAGCCCTGTGTGAACTATTATTATTACAGCCATTTTATAGGCCACAAGAGGAAGGCTCTGAAGGCAGGGGCAGGCCTTGAACCCAGGACTCCATTAGCCAGATGCCCCCAACAGGGCCTTTCTCATCATGGAAGCCTCACCCATGCATAATCCTAGCAGTGGCCAGGGGCTTTGTGCTCCTGCTCCAGCTTCCCAGCTGACTTATTCTGTGGCTCCTCTCAAATCCTCTCTCTCTGCGTTTCATGAAGCCTGGGTGACGCAGGCCCTCCTGTCTGATAGATGTTGATTCTACCACTTCCGTCTCAAGAAGTCTTCTGTGATGAACTCGGCCCCATGGCGAGTTCTTCCCCTGCACCGCACACTCCAGACCACTACATTGTGACAGCCTTGGAACTCCAAAGTGAAAAGGGGAGCATGGGGAACAATCCATTGGAATCCTGGGCTCAGGACCTGTCCCTGCCATTAGACCCTTCCATTTTTTACGTATGAAATGGCTGTAATTATAATAATAGCTCCTTGAAAAAGTGTTATTGAGAATTAACAAGGCTGCTTTCCACAGATCTGGCTCGAGTCTCACCCATCCGTTTGTCCACCCCCTACCCACCTACCTACAGTCAACTTCAAGTAATAAGATTCAGAAAATATGATTAAGTACAGAGTTTATCTAAGCCCAAAGCTTGGGGATGGCAAACTAGGACCAGAGATTCAAATTTCCCTGACTGTCCACTCTAATTAGCAGCAGTTACACATACGTTTTTGAGGAAAAAAGCAGAGGCAGTTCCTCAATTGTTTACCAAGAATTTATATGAAAATAACATAGTGGTCAGGCATAGTGGCTCATGCCTATAATCCTAGCACTTTGGGAGGCTGAGGCTGGAGGATCACATGAGGCCAGGAATTCAAGACCAGCCTGGCCAACAGGGTGAAACCCCTTCTCTACTAAAAAATATGAAAATTGGCCGGGTGTGGTGGTACATGTCTGTAAACCCAGCTACCCAGGAGTCTGAGGCATGAGAATCGCTTGAACCCAGGAGAGGGAGATTGCAATAAGCCAAGATCATCCACTGCACTCCAGCCTGGGTGACAGAGTGAGACTCTGTCTCAAAAAAAAAAAAATAAAGAAATAAAAGAAAAAGAGAATCTCTATGGCAGAACAACACCAACCCTATTCCACTGGGGAGTCAACTAAAAACATCATGAAGAAAATCCTAAACTTTCCTTAAAAGCCAGGAATTTGGCTTCTACAACTTTGTCTACAACCTTCCTTGTTGTAGCCAGGTAATAATTCAGAATTTAGTCCAAAATGTAGGAAAATAATAAAAACTCAAAAACAATGGCCAGGGCTGGAACCTAATAACAGGAATAACAAGTGTGCCAAGATTTTCTTCTGAAACATGATTTTTCTCTCTCTAGTTCCTTGCTTTTACCAAAGATGAGTCTTGATAGGACAAATTTACTTGCAAAATAAGTTTTAGTATTATACTTGGCCTTTTAATTTGCACTGTTGAAACTTTTATAAGGAATTTTGGATTCAACTTTTTTTTTTTTTTTTTTTGAGACATAGGGTTTCGCTGTGTCCCCCAGGCTAGAGTGCAATGGCATGATCTTTGCTCACTGCAACCTCTGCCTCCCAGGCTCAAGCGATCCTCCTACTACCTCAGCCTCCCAAGCAGCTGGGACTATAGGCGTGCACCACCATACCAGGCTAATTTTTTTGAATGTTTTTTTTAGAGACAGGGTTTTACCATGTTGTCCAGGCTGGTCTAGAATTCCTGGGCTCAAGTGATCCTCTCACCTCCGCTTCCCAAAGTGCTGAGATTATAGGCATCAGCCACCACGCCTGGCCTGGATTCGACTTTTAAAAGCCTCACAGCTAAAAAGCTAAACCAGGGATTCACCATCAGACTATGCCTGTGATACCCATACACATTGGGTGAATTCTTCTCTTTTCAAGGTCCCAAAATATCTTGAGGTTTCTCAAGATATTTCTTCTTTTCTGAAGACAGAGTCTCATTCTGTTGCTTAGGCTGGGGTACAGTGGTGCAATTTTGGCTCACTGCAGCCTCTGCCTCCCAGGTTCAAGTGATTCTCCCACCTCAGTCTCCCAAGTAGCTGGGACTACAGGTACCACTCCTGGCTAATTTTTGTATTTTTTGGTAGAGATGGGGCTTTACCATGTTGGCCAGGCTGGTCTTGAACACCCTGACCTCAAATGAAGTGCCCACCTCAGTCTCTGAAAGTGCTGGGCCCCCTTTTATTTTATTCTTGTTAACATTTTTTAATAGAGGCGGGGTCTCACTATGTTGCCCAGGCTGGTCTCAAACTCTTGGACTCGAGTAATCCATCTGCCTCAGCCTCCCAAAGTGATGGGATTACAAGCTGGAGCCACCAAGCCAGGCCCCCAAGTGTCTCTTTATGGGCTCTATAAAGTCGACGTCAGTTCCTAAAAGCAGTCTGGTCATACCTGAAGATACACCATTTCAGTCAAAGCCTTGGTAAAATTACCAGTGTCTCCAATGTGGTCTGTTATGAAAGAAAATGTATTCTTACTGAATTTATGCAAATAACTATATTGTCCTAAAATAAGAATACTCACAAATAGCCAGGCGTAGTGGCTCACACCTGTAATCCCAGCACTTTGGGAGGCTGAAGTGGGCAGATCACTTGAGGTTAGAAGTTGGAGACCAGCCTAGCCAACATGGTGAAACCCCATCTCTACTAAAAATACAAAAATTACCCAAATGTAGTGGTGTGCACCTGTAGTTCCAGCCACTCAGGAGGCTGAGGCAGGAGAATCATTTGAACCAGGAGGCAGAGGTTGCAGTGAGCCAAAATCGTGCCACTGCGCTCTGCACCACTCTGGCCTGAGTGACAGAGCAAGACTCCATCTTAAAAAAAAAAAAAAAAAAAAAAAAGAATACTCACAAATAGTTTGCAGATTTTGGAGAGATCAGGTAGAGAGAAAGGCAAATGTTTCAATTTTGCTCACAAAAGTGTATTTTATCCAGTTGCTGTGACAAAAGAAAAAAAGCTATTTGACTGAAAAACAAAATATAAAAAGAATTAGCAATGTTTTGAATTTTTTAAATCATAAAAATCACTTTTGTCTTCTATCAGTTTAGTCCCATGTAAATAATTCTTGCTCTGCTTGATGTTGGGTTAGCAGTCTTCATGAATGCCTCAGGTTTTCATTAGAGTTCTGGAAATTTTTACTTAGTCCAGTGGTATGATCTCTGAAGTTACCAGAAACCTGTATTCAAGAGTACTTGTCAGGGTCTTTTCCAAAAATTTCCTTAAAGAAGCAGCAAATTTTGGACCATAACTGATTATAAACTACTTTCTTAAAAAAAGAATCAAACTAAGGCCGGGCACAGTGGCTCATGCCTGAATCCCAGCACTGTGGGAGGCTGAAGCAGGCAGATCATCTGAGGTCGGGAGTTCAAGACCAGCCTAATCAACATGGAGAAACCCGGTGTCTACTAAAAATACAAAATTAGCCAGGTGTGGTTGCAGTCACCTGTAATCCCAGCTACTCAGGAGGCTGAGGCAGAATCACTTGAACCTGGGAGGTTGTGGTGAGCTAAGATTAAGCCATTACACTCAAGCCTGGGCAACAAGAGTGAAACTCCATCTCAAAAAAAAAAAAAAAAACCCACAAACAAGAATCAAAATAAAACAAAAATTGTCTATGGATGGTAAAAGGCTTAGGATAGCCATGGTTCAAGATGAAATTGAACAGGACATTTGGCATTTGTGTGGCATACAACAGTTTATCATAATAATTATGATAATAATATACTGATAACATATACTAAGACATATCAGACTTTTAGGAATCTCATACAATGTTGGAACACATTAATAATACATTTTTATAAATATAACTCAAAGAAAGTTGAACATCATTGCTTATTTGACAATATTTCCCATATGACTTTGACATACCCAATAAGCCTAATGTGTCTCTTTTGGACTTGCAGAGGTTCTGGTTATGCCCAAGTCAGCTTGGGTCAAAAAGAGTTAATTTTTGAATTTGAAATTTAATTTTGGGAAGTATCTCAAATATTAAAGGTTTAAAACACTTGTTATAATAATAAGAAAGATTTAAAACACATGATCAAAATAGAATCACAGGTCACTACAAAATAATGATAATTCATTTTAGCCAAAATGATAATTCAAAGATTTCAAAAAGCAAAAACCACTCTGATAGAGGAGATTCAGTTCTCAATCAAGAGACCTAATAAAGACAGCATGGGACAAACTCCCCTGTTACCTTTTCTTTGCCATTAATGCAAAAGTAAATATACCTTTTACCTTATTAATACCACATTACATTGTTATTCAAAGAAGAAAAACAGGCCGGGCGCGGTGGCTCACGTCTGTAATCCCAGCACTTTGGGAGGCCGAGGCGGGTGGATCACGAGGTCAAGAGATCAAGACCATCCTGGTCAACATGGTGAAACCCGTCTCTACTAAAAATACAAAACTTGGCATGGTGGTGCACGCCTGTAGTCCCAGATACTCGGGAGGCTGAGGCAGGAGAATTGCTTGAACCTAGGAGGCGGAGGTTGCAGTGAG